GCTTGGGATGTATGTGGAACCTACTAACGATCCCATTTGTTTAATTGGATGCATTGTTTCCACAGATCAAGGGTCTGGAATGGCTGGTGTCTCTCTACAACAACAACTTGAATGGTATTCTGGCCGATGAGATGGGTTTGGGCAAAACCATCCAGACCATAGCTCTCATTGCTTATCTGATTGAGAAGAAGAACGTCAAAGGCCCATATCTCATCATTGTTCCCCTCTCGTGAGTAGTTGTCCTAGTTAGCACTCTGTGACTCAGACTCAAGCCCGACTTGAACAACTCGAACCAGATGAGGTTAATGTTGGCATGATTTGAGTCACTCAATTTGTATGAGTCCTTTGCACTCACGCTCAAGTTGAAATGGAGCTGTGTTTCAAGTTACTCAAACTGGAAACTCAGATTGAGTCGCTTACAATCTTCTGACTCTGTTCCTTGGCCTGAGTTTAAGTAACAGCTCTTACTGTCAATAAGTCTGACCCATAGTACATGAGTCATGGCTGAGTCGTAGATGGAACCAAAGTCCTGTCTCCAGTGACTTAACCTAGAACTGAGATTGAGTAATGCATGTTGTTGTGTTTTGAGTTGTTGCCTTTCTCAGCAATAATCTTGACAATCCAAATCTCTTTGTCGCCAGGACATTGTCCAACTGGGTGATGGAATTTGACAAGTGGACTCCTACCATATCCAAGGTGTCCTACAAGGGATCGCCCAGCCTGCGCCGGACCCTAGCAGCCAATCTCCGCACCATGAAGTTCAATGTTCTCTTGACCACCTATGAGTATGTTATGAAGGACAAGGCAGTCTTGGCAAAGGTAGGATGCATTTTGAAAATTGATTCCAAATTCTCACATATTTGTATGCTCAGCGTATGACAGTATTTCTTCACTGGTTCTGTTTGAAAACAAATATGAATCTGGAGTTGCAAACTTTGCTAATCTTTCCTTAAAAATGTTTTGTAAAAGCTTCACCCAAAATCACTCCCTAAAATGCTTCATTCAGAACTTCTCTCTGCCGCAGCTGGATTCAGCATGGTCATTTCCACCTCTTTATTTTTTTCTTTAGATCCGTTGGAGGTACATGATTGTTGATGAGGGCCATCGAATGAAGAATCATCATTGTAAGTTGACCCAGGTGTTGAACACTCACTATCTAGCGCCTCATCGAGTCCTGCTGACTGGAACTCCCTTGCAGGTGAGAAACCCAACTTTTCCCGCCTGCAAAAGGATGAAAAACAAAAACAATTTGAGACTCAATCCCACAAAATGATTCTTAAAGATTTTATATTTTTTCATTATTTTTGTTTGGCAATAGAAAGAGCACGGACTGAGCCTTATTTTCATAAATCACTTAGTTTCACACCCCAATCGAAGTGAACATTGTGCGGGTAAAAATGTGGAGGGTTGAAATTAAGTTTGGTAGTGCAAGAGTCTTGTACTGTCCTCTCAACTGAGAGGCAGCTCTGGTGACTTAAAGACTCTTTAGCTGGATTAGGTCGCACTGAGTTCAGGAAACTTGCTAAGTACAGGAAATGTTTGCTTACAAAAACAGCTTACTAGCTAAAACGCTATGCAATAGTGGTACTCCACCGATTTTTGCGTAGCGCATAAATTTCCTGAGCCAATAGTTTGGGCTTACCAGCTCCAAGTAAGCAAAGCCCAGTGCCATTCATGTGCTTTCTTGTCACTAACAGTTTCTTTCCTGATCTCTGTTGCAGAACAAACTACCCGAGTTGTGGGCACTGCTTAATTTTTTGCTGCCGACCATCTTCAAGTGTTGTAGCACCTTTGACCAGTGGTTCAATGCACCCTTCTATTCCACAGGAGAAAAGGTTGGTACCATGCATTCCTGTTTAAGGACAAACAATTGGTATAAACAGGCTTGCTCATGGACACAAGCACCGTCATCCTCTAGCTGGATGTTAGCTTGCTCAAGTAGACTGTGAGGTTTCACAGAAGTAATAAATGTTACAGATTTTGAATATTTTCATTACCTCAAGAATGCAAAAGACAAATAGCAAAAAAATTCACCTGATCACAAGGTAGAACCATTTGGCCTAAAGGTCAGTATTGAAAATACAACAGTCAAATTAAAACCCAGGGTATTGCTGTCAGCTAGAAATCTAGACCCAAATAAATTCCTGGTATTTCTTGGCAATAAACCATCCATCAGCCAAGCCTGTCCATGCAATCTCTCCTCGGTATGTCTCTCATCAACCAAACAGGTTACTTGGGTGGGGGGGGGGGCTCATTGTAGCCCCAGGGGACGTGGTGAGTCTGGCCATGATCTGGCAAGGTGCAGTGCACATTCAGTGGGGCATGGACAGACATCCGTGTTGTTTATTGACAGTGTTTCTGCATTGTAAAAGGGGCAAAGCTCTCTCAGTACATACCACTGGGAACAAGTGTTTTCTGCAAGTCAAATTGAATTTCTCAACATGAGTTCTGAGAGGGGTTTGTTGAATTAGTTTGATGAGGTCCAGATTTGTATTGTGCAGGAAGGTTTTATGTGAGCCGAAAAGTTGTTGTTTTTCTTTATTATTAATGAGGGGCGTTGTTGATGTAAATCTTATAATTGGCTAAGGAAGATGTTTACTCAGAATACAAAAAGTAAAAGAGAGCATAAGGACCCCTCTGTGAAGCAATTCATTCAAGTAATCCTAGATTTGGATCCATCTCCTCTCGTTAATAAGGACTCAACACAGGCAGGAGTTGCCGAAGGAAGAAAAATTTAACTTGAAAATAAGTGGTCAGCACGGCTTGTATATTTTGTCAGGAATAGCTTAAAAGTTTGGCAGAACCTGTCTGAATTGCACCATTGGACCTTTGTACTGTGCCAAAGGGATTCTTGCTGTGATTTTTGTTTCTCTTTACTTTTTCCCAACAGGTGGAACTGAATGAAGAGGAGACTATTCTGATCATCCGTCGTCTGCACAAAGTGCTGCGACCTTTCCTCCTCAGACGTCTCAAGAAAGAAGTCGAGTCTCAACTCCCAGAAAAGGTGATGCAAGAAAGTCCGACTGCTGCCACTGTGGCTCCCCGCCCTCCCTCAAGAAAATAAAAATTTCAAATGGCCTTTTGAAACTTACAAAGTCCTAGTGTGTGGTGCCAAAAATTTGGGGAATCGTTCAAAATGAATGGGATGGTCAACTGGGAATGATTATCAGAACTGGTTCTAGCTTCCTTCCATTGGGTCTGTGCACAGGCTAACGAGGGCGCTGCATAGCTATGCACAGAGTGTGTCTGTATGTTCCCTTGAAGAACTGGGTCCAAGTTGACGGAGGTGCAAAGCACAGAAAATATTGGCGCAGCAAAAAACAGGTTACTGGCTGAAATGTCATACTGTGCGTACTTCCCGCCACTGGTAGTCTGCCTATTTTGGCTTTGCTCGTAAAATTTCTTAAAATTGTGGCCCCTGACATCAGTATTTTTAATGTACAATTTCACCATTTCTGTCGTGTTTGTAATCTTCACAGGTTGAGTACGTGATCAAGTGCGACATGTCGGCATTGCAACGTCTGCTGTATCGTCACATGCAGATCAAGGGAGTCATGCTGACGGATGGATCGGAGAAAGACAAGAAGGTATGTGGCCAGATAATGCATCACTGGCTCATGGCCAAGGCCACATCAAAAGAAAACCATATTCATTGTACCTACCAGTTCCAATTCTGGAAGTTTTTTTGTTATTCAAAGAAAAAATGCTCGCTTAAACAACTTCTGAGTCATTGTTGCAACATTTATGGATTTTAGTGAATCAGGCTTTATGATTTTGAATAAGTGTGCTTTTCGCAACCCAAATGGAATGCTGAACTTTCACCTTTGACCTGCAGGGTCGCGGTGGTACCAAGATGCTTATGAACACCATCATGCAACTCCGCAAGATCTGCAACCATCCCTTCATGTTCCAGCATATCGAAGTAAGATTTCAGCCAGAAAAGAGTGATTTTTTTCTGACAAAGTACCTGCACTTCCTTATGAAAATCTTGTGGATTTTGTATTCTTTTAAGATTTTAAGAACTTGTCCAGGTCAACATTACAATTTATCAAATCACTATTGAGAAAGTTCGGCAAAGTTAGATCAAGATTTTGTCTCCTCCCCTTTATACAGGCCTCGTTCTGCGAGCATCTGGGCCAGACAGGTGGTATCGTACAGGGACGAGAGATCTACCGCGTGGCCGGCAAATTTGAGCTACTGGATCGCATCTTGCCCAAGTTGAAGTCAGGCAAACATCGCACTTTGCTTTTCTGCCAGATGACCTCCTTGATGACCATCCTCGAGGACTTTTTCATCTTCAGAGGTGAGGTCACAAACATATCATGGTCTTTGTGCTTAGCAGATGGTTGTGTTTGTCACTCAAATCTTTGTTTAATATCTGTCGTAACCAACAAGGGGTCCCAGTTTTAGGTACAGCAAGCACTGACATGCTTTCTCTGGTGGTGACATGGTGAAATGATATTTTTTATCCCAACACTTAGGTTATCGTTACCTTCGCCTGGACGGTACCACCAAGGCTGATGACCGAGGTGACCTGCTGGTCAGGTTCAATGACCTGGACTCGGACTATTTCCTCTTTCTGCTCAGCACCCGTGCTGGTGGTCTTGGCCTCAACCTTCAGACCGCCGACACGGTCATCATCTTTGATAGTGACTGGAACCCTCATCAGGTAACAGAAATCCGAACACCGAAATGAAATTCTTCCCTAGCTGCTTGATATTGGACATTTTTTTTACCGGAATCTGATTCAAATGGGAAAATTAAGTGGTCCCAGCGTTGTCCTTTTTTTTTCTTATTGCTCAGGATTTGCAAGCCCAGGATCGTGCTCACCGTATCGGTCAAAAGAATGAGGTCCGCGTACTTCGCCTGATGACCGTCCAGAGTGTGGAGGAGAAGATTTTGGCTGCGGCCAAGTACAAGCTTAACGTGGACAGCAAGGTCATTCAGGCCGGCATGTTTGACAATAAGTCCACGGGGCAGGAACGTCGAGCTTTTTTGATGGCCTTGCTGGATCAAGATGCAGACCAGGATGAGGTCAGTAGTCATGTATTCGTTTTTTTAACAAACATTGCTCCATACTCAGAAATGATACATTGGAAAGCTTCTGGTGTTGATCTTTGCTGAAGCTAACCAACGGAACTTGATCATGGGTTTCCTCACAAGAGTTTGAAGAGTTATTTAAAAGAGCCTCAAAAGTTTGATCACTTGCTGAAATGTCTTTATCGTTGTCACTGCTGATAGGAGGAGAATGAAGTTCCGGATGACGAGACCATCAACCAGATGATCGCCCGCACTGAGGAGGAGTATGAGGCCTTCCAGCGGATGGACATTGAGCGACGTCGTCAAGAGGCACGGGACCCAAACCGCAAGCCCCGTTTGATGGAGGAAGACGAGCTACCCGGCTGGCTGCTCAAGGATGACAAGGAAGTAGAGCGGCTGACCATTGAGGACGATGAAGAGAAGCTGTTTGGGCGTGGGTCCCGGCAGAGGAAGGATGTAGATTACAGCGACTCATTGACAGAGAAGGAGTGGTTGAGGGTAGGGATCATTTATTCATTGCCATTTAGTTTTGGCTTTCAGGCTGCAGTAGTTGTGAGATTTCTAGGATATTTGTTAAAGAATTTACTGCCTCAGATAAGTTGCACTCTGCAGCATCGAAAGTTCCCGCTAGAAGGTTCTGAAAGCCTTAAATTTCCCCAGGGAACATTACCAACAGTTGGCGAGGTCAAGGTTAGGTCAGAAGTATATCAATTGGATTGGTGTCTTGGAACTTTACTTTAAGCAACATAATTGTCTCTCAGGCCATTGAGGAAGGCAACCTGGACGAAGTGGAAGGCTTGAAGAAGCTGAAGAAGCAACGCAAGCGTAACTACGAGTACATGGACGAGGAAGATGAAGATGAAGAGGAGACCAAGGTGGCCAGCAAGGTGGAGAAGCCGGCCGTCAAGAAGAGACGTGGCCGGCCACCTGTAGAGAAGCCCCAGCCTAACCCGCCCAAGCTGACCCACAACATGAAAAAGCTCGTGGAGACCATGACTAGCTACAAGGATGGGTAGGTAGTTAAAAGAGTTGGGTCTTGATGGATGTAGGTGGTAGAGGGGATGACGAGCTACCAGGATGGGTAGGTGGCTGGGGATTGGGTCTTGATGGATGTAGGTGGTAGAGGGGATGATGAGCTACCAGGATGGGTAGGTGGCTGGGGATTGGGTCTTGATGGATGTAGGTGGTAGAGGGGATGACGAGCTAAAAGGATGGGTAGGTGGCTGGGGAAGTTAGGTCTTGCTGGTGGATGTAGGGATAAACATAATGACTAGCTACAGGGTCTTGCTTGTGCTGGAGACTATAGTCAGCCAACGCAATTGGTAGGTGGCAGTGTCACATTAGGTCTTGTAGCATGAGGAAATTGACACGTTTCCAATGCACATTTCACACGTCACAAACACCAGTCATTTTTCCCCTCCCTAGCCAAGGCAGGCCTCTGGCCCATCCCTTCCTGGCCCTACCTCCCAGGCGAGAGCTACCAGACTACTACGAGCTCATCCCCAAACCCATGGACTTCAAGAAGATCAAGGATCGCATCCGACAACATCGCTACCGCTGCATCAACGACCTGGAGCGCGACGTCAACCTCATGTTCAGGAATGCACAGACCTACAACCTTGAAGGCTCACAGGTAGGTCAAAGGTTGAACGTCAGACGGTAATCCTAGTGTCTTGGTCCAAAGCTGGTATGTGGATGTAACCTGCTATAAATGTAGCCGCTAACATACTTTATTTTGTAAATCTTCATGTTTTTGTCCCTCGTTCTTCACATATGATTATTCATTATATTTTGTGTTTTCTTAATCAGATTTATGAGGATTCCATAGTGTTGCAGTCAGTGTTTGCCAGCGCCCGCAGTTGCCTAGAGACCACAGGCCGTCTGCCAAACTGTGGCGATGAAGACAGTGACGAGGAGACAGAAGCAACGTCCGACTCGGAGTGTAAGTGAGCTCACTGGCGCATTTCCATGGCAACTGCTTCACATTGTTAGCTGGATTGATTTCATAGGCTTATATTCTGGCGTGTTGTACCTTGCAAACTATGAGCATTTCCCATTTCTCTTTCATTTTGAGCTTAAGGTAGCCATTCGGTATTTCCCCCCTCGATTGTTCCATCTTATATTCTTATTGCTGTCTTTGTTTCCATGGTAACAGCGCGCTCCTCCATGAAGATGAAGATCAAACTGAAGCAGGGCCGAGGCGAGGGCAAAGGTCGCGGCCGGGGCAAGGGCAGGGCCCAGCCCGCCAAGCGAGGCCGCCCTCCGCGCAAGCCGGTTGTCAGTGACGACAACGACGAGGAGGAAGAAGAAGCGGGGAAGAAAGAGTCGTCGTCCAGCAGCAGCAGCAGCGACTCTGATGAGGTATAGAAGTTGCTGCATTGTCAGCCAAATTTGACTGCAGACTTAAGATTTACCACCAGCCAGTTCTTTCTTACTAATGCACAAGTGCAGCATAGTTCAGTTGAAACAATTGTAGTCAAAGTATTGCTGTGAAATCACATTGGTATACTTTGGGCTCTTGATTAATAATCAACTGTGCCACCGCACCCCTAAGTCTGCCTCCAAATGGTTAGCGAGACTAGTCATCCATTGTTTGGTTTAATAGTGACGTATAGTCTTCATTCAAGCTTGCCTATTTGATAGTTCTATATAGCTTCACCCTTAGCCATGAGGGTGTGCAAAACATAATTAAGTTCAAGTATGGAGAACTGCAAGGTTTTTTTGCCATTTTAAAGTAAGAAAGGCAATAATATGTTATGACACAGAAGAATATGTTGGTCAAAGTAGAATTCTGTACTCATATTGCTTTGTGGTATAACCCCCCCAACCCTGTTATTATCTTTTCTATCATCCAGGAGGAATCGGGCAGCGAGGGTAATCCAACCCCGGAGTCCTCCCGTCCCTCGTCACGTGGAGCCTCCCCAGCCATGGGCCACAAAAAGCGTTGAAAGCTCTGCCCACAAACAAGTCAAAGTCAACCACGCCTGCAAGAAGCTGGCGTCAAAACCTAGTGCCCCAAAAAATATTAACCTGTCTATAGACATAGCAAATTTACAAATATTAGAAAAAGCGAATATTGTTTAGAAAGAAAATGGAGTCAATCACTTATTATCTGTTTTATGTTGGTGTTTATTGTCCGTTTCTTTCCTCTGTATTTGACCCCATTCCAGGGAAAACTAAAAAACATGTACTCTGTGTTTGTAAATTACACATAAGCAGTAGATGTAGTCACAGTGTTTGTGCCTATGTACATGGACATGTATTTCCATGGCGTACCGTTTTGAGAAGTCATCGAAACCTACCCATGTTTTGCATTAATGTCGTACCTAATGCTGTTTCAGGTTTTCCAACAAACTTTTGTATTTTCCATAATATATAAACACAGTCTGGTGGTGTTGCCTAGTGTCCTTGTAACAATGAAAGCCTTTTATATGATTGGAATAGTCAAACAATTAGAATTGGACGGGATTTGTGGGAGTGGTTTGAGGGAAAGTGGATGTACACAAAAAGACTTGGATTAAATGCTTAAACCCTAAGGCTGTTTGAGTTTGCCTATTTGGCTGGGAAAGAAATTGGTCAAACATCTCTGGACCAGATAATGATGACCTCTTTTGGGGTTAGATAACATCACGTATTTTGTTTTAAAAAGTCACTAGTTGTCATTTTTTGTAGCCTGTCTGACCAAAAAAATCACTTTAAATTGCTTGTATCTCCTTAACGGTATTGGGTAGATGGAAATAAAGATATGAACTGTGTGTATACTAAAATTCCATCTGGATGATTGCAAGATTCAAGTATTATTGTCAACTGCGATCGCTTTGCTCCTTGGTGATAATTTTGTCAGTTAAATTGGTCTGTAGACAGTGGTGTAAATGTGTTTGCGGGAAATTTGGGATGGGGGTTCGTGAAGATGAATTTCCGGCCGTTTGGGGGGCGATATTGACACCAGGTGACACTAGGCAGCGATGTTCATGATACCGAATCTTACTTGAGTACGGCATATTTCTGTTTTTTATTCTCTCCTATTGAGTGCTACTGAATACATTTGGTTGTCTTCACAATAAGCCTTATTTTTTGCACTGTGAAAAATGGCGAGATGATTCAATAGCCCATCCCCCCCCCGTTAAAAAAGTGGAGGGAATATAATTATATACACACACCCCGGGATTTACGCCGATGTCCACCGACATCACTAACCCTCCTTCCAAAAAAGCCAGTTTTTAGAACAAAAAAAAACGTGATCATGCGCTGAGCAAGTCCCAATTGTCAAACACGTCGTAAGGTTTGTACGAGAGAAATTCAAGGATCCGGTAAACCAAGGTGACCCTTGACCATTCGCGCGCTCCGTGCGCTGTCTTATTAGGCAAACATTCCTATACGGCAACGCCCACTGTCAGTTGACAGTAGAATTATAAATATTGACAGAAAAAAAACGAAGCTGGACACATCACAATTCCTTATTTGGAAAATGACGTAACAGTTTTACTTGGCCGAATTCTCCCGTACAAGGCTCTCGCAGGTACTTTTCTTAGGATCACACTGTTGAATGAGCCTATAAATAGCGGCTTCGAATATTTAATGGGCAATATAAGAACGGCAAGAGTCCACCAAGTGCCATTTTGCAGTGTCTTTGGATCAAGTCAACTCCGACGTGCCTTTCCTTTTGCTGAGAATGAAGGGGTTTACCGTGTCTGTCGGGCTAATCCTAGCCGGCCTTGTCGCTTGCTGTCATGCTCAGGTGTTCTCCTGGGGTCCTTGCCCCGCAGTTCAAGTAAAACAGGACTTCAACGCCACGAGGTATTTCGGTAAGTCATTTAAGCGTGACTATCAACGCCTGAGCCTGCCATCAGATTGGGGAAGTGAGCAAGTTCTGACGGCCATTTATGAGCGTGGCTGCGTGTTCATATTAGGCTGTGCAACATAATTTAGAGGCCTACGCTCAAACTAGGAACCACCATTTCCCAGTGTTACCTTCTGATCGTCCTTAAATCGTCATAATATTTATTTTCAGTCAAGTGGAGGCACACTCTATCCACCGTAAAAACGGGACTCACTAATCGTTACTTTTGATGGAGTTTCTTATGATTCGTTGTAATTCTTGACAGGAAAATGGTATGAAATCCTTCGATTCAATAAGACATCCTTTGAGGAAGGCACTCGCTGTAACTACGCGATTTACTCTAACGGTACCAGGAACGGCACATTGAGCGTAAGAAACGCCGGTCTGCGAGGTTCAGAGGTAGACTCCGTTGAAGGCTTCGCTTACGCACCGGACCCATCTCAGCCGGGCAAACTCAAAGTCAGATTCTGTAAGTACCTCAGGAAAACAGAGTTGCGTTGACTTGGCTGACTCGAGCACAGGAAAAAAATGCATGTATTACGCAACATAAAACGTTTACGCATACAGTGACACACTTTGTGCAAACAACTTTTTGTCTGACAGGTTTGGGTATGAGTTTTTCTCCTATAATCCACTAAGCAAATCTATTCTCTTCACATGTTAATTTGCATGACCTGCGAAGAAACTCGAATGATGTTGGTGTGATCTGCAATAGGCCTAAAGAAACTGACATTAAGCAACTTTGTGACAAGAATTCCACGCAGTTTTAAGTCTGGAGAGGGGGAGCAGGAACGGGAAGGAGTTAGCGTGGCGGTTCTTTCCTCGCTTTACACCAATGAGGCCCGGGTTCGAATCCCGCCTTGGCCCAGGCTTTAAGTGCGTTTGGTTTCCAGTCCATACTCGCTCTCGCAGGTTTTCTCCGGGTACTGCGGTTTCCTCCTGCCTCTAAAACCGGACCTTCATCCTACCTCCGTAATGTGATGCTGATTGATAAAGGTTGTGAATAAACGTACAGCTATTGGCGTAAACAGCCCGAGGAGCTGTAAGCGCCATTAAAACAAAACAATAACAAGAAGTCGGGAGAGGACTCCTCATTGCAATCACGCCCGGTTACTGGCACAGATCTGGTTGTAACTGGGCGCTTTTATGTAACCTAGATTAGGTCTACTGAGAAGTTCTCAAATCCCCTTTTCCTCATACCAACAGCTAAGTCCTGGTTCGCTGGCAACTATTGGGTTCTAGACACCGACTACCGCACCTTCTCCATGGTGCATTCCTGTACCGGTTTCTGGCTGTTCAACTTTCAGCTCAACTGGCTGCTAAGCCCAAGCCGCAGCATCACGGCCGATGTCACTACCAATGTCATGGAAAAGTTCCAAGACGCTGGCGTTGATACCTCAAACTTCATACAGACCAACCAGACACGCTGCCCTGACTTCTAAATAAGCCATGGTCATCGTTAACCCGATCTTGGAGGAAAAGTAGGCATGCACAATTATTTCAAGAAAAAAGCGGATTGCTCAGTTTTGTTTAGAAGCATATGCATTTGCATTACCTACATTCGCGAAAGAAATATTTTGTTTGTATCCCTTGACACGAATTTGCATTTTTAATTTGCTTCGGACCCACTTTCTAGTCTAGAACCACCTTTAGCCGCAAAACGATTAATAAATGCTTTATTTTGAGCACTGAACTGCACAAATAAAGACAGATAGGTTGATTCGTTTAAAATATTTCTTTACTGCTAGTTTTATTTAAACGGTACTAGAACACGGTACGAGCAACTTTAAAGATTAATGGTTTACATTTGGAATACAGAAATACCCTATACAGTATGATCCAAGGTAACTTGAAACGCTTCAGGGCTGTTTGAGCGCCCTCTTTGACAGCAAAAATTATCGCATTCGCAAGAAGTGAAGTTTAACAGCTGATGTATTACCAATGCGGGATATTCGTCAAATTTGTTGCTTTAAACTGAGATTTTACATCACACCCTTTTGCCTACATTAATGAAGACATGTACAGAGTTCAGTGAATCAGACTTGGTCCCAGGGCTGTTTACCCTCGTTTCTGCATTCTATAGCAGAGTCTCTCAGTGGTCCAGCGAACTCGCCACCAAAATATAGGCCTAGCAATGGTTAAAACTTCTAAGGCTAAAGTTGCGTCCGAAAGTTTCGGCTACGACTTACAATAACACGTGAACCACTTCCCATAAACGACTGTAAGTTACCTCCAACCCAAATATATATATCACTGAATTTGGACTAAGCTTTCGGATGGCAATTTGGACTGATATGTGCTCTTCAAAAATAACTGTTTGCACAAATTACATGTTTATTGTAATAGAAATACAAACTATCATACTTTGAAACATAATTATTGAAAACCACAGAATAAGACGGATTTTGAAAACATAAAGTTGACCTAAAACTAAGAATCACAATTTCCATCCACCATCTTCTAACACCTGTTTTTAAACTCGCAAATCGCGCTTGCCAATGGGATGACTCAAAACTTGGCATCCAGTTCGGGTTCCACCCCTGCGACGGGAAATGACTAGGCCGTGAACAGGCTCGTTGAGACGGCGTACGTGGTTGTCAACATGCACGCTAGCAGAACCGTCAACGATATCCCGGGAACCGTACCGCCGGAATCTGTAGATTTAAAAAAAAGACCAGATAAGACTAGTTACTTTTTACCTACATGTATCATCAATAAACTTTCAATTGTTCAGCTTTTAACTCCGGGCTTTGACATTGACCAATCCGCATGCTACAATTTAACCTTGTTACAAATGGGCCAGTGTTTCTGAAGTCATTAGGCTGACGATATTTCTAACGTTTCAGCTTTTGAAACTTTGATGAGAAATCGGCGATCCTCTATAAACCTACCCCATCCGATCGTCTCTCCGTTCTTTCTATTGGTTTCCTCCAACCATGTCATTAGAGGCGCGAAGTACTCATTGATCGCATCGGCTGACATTGACCTCTGGCCCGTAATAGCCTCCATCGCGTCCGGCCATGGTTTGCTAGAACCTAACTTCAGCATATTCCTTCAAAACAAGTCAATATATGTGAACATTTACCGAGTATGGTCATGGATATGATACTGTGTAACTATAAATAAAAATCTAAAAATAGGCATAAGTTTTGTCGAAGGACATATCACTTAGATAACGTGGAATTTATTACAAAAAAGAGTTGAACTTCGGGTGAGAACTCTGTAATGTTGAACGAGGGGTTGGAATATTCTATCGACGATTTTGTTGGTTATCAAACAATTATCAAACGTCATGTCTCTTATCGAGTTCCCAAGAAGTGTTCATCGCCCTTACGCGAGTCTTTCTCCAGCCGCGGTAGACTTGTAGATGTCGCATCGATGGAGCGGCCCCGTGTGTCCGGCAGCATCGCACAACCCTTTGTGAAACTGGAATTGTATGACGGTCCGTATGAAGTATCTAAGAGGTGCAAATTATAGCAGATAACCAGGAAAATTATTCTGTTCGTATGTTTTGATTATTCGTTGTAATAAAGCGATTCAACACAGCTAAAAGACTAAAGACGCCTATCCATGTGCGGGTCAAACACAAAATACGCCAAACGTTGCGTACGCGTACGTTGCGTTGCCGAACACAACGCACACGTGTGTTATGTTAATGGGGTCGATTGTTGTGTCCGTGCAAGTGAAACGCATGAACGCATCGTGCATGCCACGCACCCAAAAAAGTACAGAATTATGGAAAGGTGCCTTAACGCCCACTGAGATAAAGTTTTGTTGGGAGTTAATACTGGAATTTTCACCTCAGAAACGAGTAGTCGATGATGATGTGAAACATCGCTCCGGCTTCGAAGTCTTGCTCAGTCCGCTTGACAGGTGCTCTCACTCCTACAAGATCGTGCCTTGGAGAGAAAGCAATATCCCTGAATAATCCACACTTTGTCCGAGGAAGTCTCGTTATAAAAGTTTTCGTGGATCAACAAAAAATGTGCCCCAGCATCATTGGTTGTGATGGATCGAAACGCTTTTTCTAAAAAGATCTGGTCTTTTCTTTTTGGTTGTCTTAACTTTCAAAATTTTTGCAACCATGGTTCGCCAAGAGTGACACAGAGTGTTTAAAACGACCACATAATTTAGGGAACAGCTCCCCAACAGGGCGTGGCAACTGGCTTTATGAAGCGGCCAATCATGAGACATCTCACAATTGCGCCCTCATCATATTTTGCAAGATGTCATTCACTCATTCAGGCTTTTGTTGCTTACTTAAGCTGCCACCATCTCTCGTTCCACTTGTCCATCTCCACGTCACCAGCAAACACGTCCCATCGCCACTGCTCTAAAGCAAGACTAAACGGTAGGGTGCCGATTGTGACGAGCGAAGTTTTCAGAAGGAAGTTGATGTCAGTTTCTTTAAAAAAAAGGAAGCCAAACCCACGAAAATACCTTTTTTATTCTCGTACTCCCCTCAAGCTTTCCGACGCTGCGGCACGATATGTTGCGTTTTAAAGTAACAGTTTTGTTCAGAAACCACAAAAATAAAAATTCTCTCTAAATTCTATCCACCAGAATCATAGTATTTACGGCTTTTAACAAATTTCAACTCAAACAGTCATAGTATCAAAGACTAGTAGACTACAGACCACGCCTCTTGCCTCACCTTGGTTATCGACCCCACCCATGGTGGCGTTCAGGAGCCCAATATCAGGGTGCGATAGGTGAGTGGGCGTGGCTACGGACAGCGTAATGACCTCCCCGACCGCTTCGTGAAAAGCGCGGTTGGCGCCCGCGCGAAATGACGGAGGAAGGTTTGCATACTGTAAGTAGTATTGTACGTGACCCATTTCATGATGCACGATATTGAAGTACTCCATGTTCACTTCAGTGCACATCTTTATTCTGTCGAAAGAAAAACTTTGGGTTAATAGAAGGATCCAATACGACGCTTTTAGCATCGATCTGCGCACTTCCGCGTTTGGAAACGAGGCTGTATGTGTCAGCTTCAATTCTTAATACGATCAGACGATTGAAAGTAAGAAGTCAAGACACAAAATACATAAAGGTATGTTAAATTCAGACTTTTCAGGCTGCAAATTTTTGTTGAAGAGTCTTTCAGGATAACTTGATACGTAAAAACAAAAGAAAAAATAACGGCAATTTACCGCGAACTAACGCACCTGCGATGGCCGTGTATCTGCATGTGCAGTGGGCGTGGTTTAAACTGAAGTGGCGTCACACGTACGAACCGGATACTACATATACTGTATGGACTCCGTGGGTGCCCGACGAAGTTCAACACAGAGAGCCTCGGTTTCGATGCGGCGGATATGCGCAGACGGAGCTAATGTGAAATCCCCCATACCCCTTGACTGACTTAAGCGACGTTTCTTTTTAAAGACGCAGCTTTTCTCGAGAGTTTCGAAGGCCATTTACCTAAAATCCTGGTACTTTCCCAAGTCCCAAGCGGACGGATGGCACACTATTTGCCGGCCGTCCGTCGGCTTCTCCAATATTGAGTTGTTCCAGAACCGTTCGTTGACGCGTTTCAGGCCGCAAGACGCGAAGAAATCGTCGGCAAGTTGGAACATTCGAAGCGGGGTAAATCCCTGCAGTGGGGGGTAAAATCAGACGTCGAGGTCCTTAGTTTAGGTCCTTTTATTCAAACAACTGCATTTTTAATGCAACAAAATCACATAATTCAACTGACAACAGACATAATAACTAAGCAATGGTCGTGTCTTCAGCATGATTAGGGCCTACTGTTACCTTGGCAATCATCGTGTTAGTGACGTCAATGTCCGGCGTATCCGGGTACGGAATGACCTGCTTATAGATGTTGCCCCAAAAGCGCCCCCACATGTCTCCTGAAACAAGAAGACAGGCAATCGTCAGACACAATTCGCTTCCATCTTTTGCCTGCTCTGGAAAAATTCAGCTCGGCGATTTTACCAACACTACTCAATAAAAGCAGAGGGGGCGGGATTAATACAAGTACCTAACAGGTTAGAAGGAATACGCCCATCGACGTCTACTTTGTCTCCATGTGTTTTGTGCATGATTCTTCTGACATAAGCATGGAGTTGCTTGTACAGTGGTAGGATATCGTTGTACAATTTATAAGCTTGCGCGACCAAATCGTCCACCTCGTAGTAAGAACGCCAGTAACTCCCCGTGTCAGGATATCCTGTGAAGAAATGTAGATGAAAAAATATTAACGGCTGTTACATGAACCTTCCATGTGTCGTGGAGTCCCCCATGGATCCTCCCTCTTTGTGACAAGTAATGAACCAGCCACAGTATGTCTGAGGCTTTAAGTTAGCGCTTTAAGATTTAAAGAAAGGTGGCTGCAAATCCGTGTGGGGTTGATAGAGTTTTCCATTTCGATTCGAGCAACAAGGGCTCCCTGTGGTGACCCTGAAGGGACATCACATATCGCAAATATTTCCGTGTGTGATGTCCCTGTAGGACAACCATAGCTCCCCGAACGTAGTTATTCTGCAACCACAAACGAGACCTACCATTCGCCCTGGCAGCTTCGTTGGAAAGCTCAACATAGCGGGCATACAGAGGTTTGTTCGGAACGCCAGCTTTGTCTCGAAATCCTTTCCAGGCCCAGACAAGTTCGTCCCAATCTCGGGAACTGGCCATCACCTGTGTCAAACCTGGAAACGGCCAAATAAAAGGAAAAGAAGCCTGAATAAACAGAAACTTACTGATCTGTGCAACGACGAATTAATTTCGTGGAGACAATGATATGGCAGGGATGAACCAGTTCATTTCGTGGAGACAAAATGGCAAGCCTAGGATGGACTGGCTCAACTAACCTAAATCTTGTTTATCCAATAAACAGGGTTTTTTCAAATTGTCCCTTTTAACGCGAAGAAATGATCCCACCTCGAGTACAAGTTTCCTCTCCAAGATTACCACAGCAAGTATGAAATGGAAAAGTTAAGAGGGCCGCGTTCTTATAAATTGGATATCTTCCAGGAATGTAATCCTCCATCCCCTTCGACTGAGAGATAATTAAATATTTGTCTCACCAGGTTCGAGTTGAAGACATTCATCGGGTTTTCCCGGCCGGCATACGCGTGCAGTGCTGTAGTTATCGGTCATGGAACTTACCAGCTCACTGAACTATGAAGGGTCGACAGAAGAAAAACACTTTCTTGACATTTGAAATTAGAATGACAAAATGGTACATAGACATTATGATAAACAAGATGATAACCGGGGGGGGGGGCTAGTAACATTTTAATATAGGTCTTTATTCTGTTGACCTCACCTCTGCCACTTTGGTCGGCTCGAGGATAGCTGTTCCGATGTCCCGGATGTTTTTCAGTCTTCTTCTGACGTCATCGGGGAAAGCCGAATCGTCAAACCGACTGGCATTCTGGCCTGCTTCCTTCACGAATGCGGCGAGGACCAGACTTTCCTCAATCTGTCCAAATATGTGAGAGCCTTACAATATCAATATTAAATTATGTGGTGTGTCTGCTGCTATGGGGGGGTAATTGTGCAAATTGCGATCAATTCATTGAGAATTTCAGGGGTACCAAGAAGCTTCCGTAATAGAGTGTTAGCAGACTCCACACAATTGTTCACATTTATGAGACGGAAACTTTTCTTCATACATGTGTTTATTGTTGGAAGATGATAACCACACATTTCGTATTGTCTTACGAATCTCCATAGAAACCAGAAAATTCAGAATATTATCCCTTCAAAATGTCGAATGTTGAATTGCTTGCGTCTTCTGCAGAATTTGTTTACTGGGAAAGAATTATATCAACCACCTATGCATTCAAATCATAAATATTACCTACATAATGTTTGATATTATGACCTCAATAAAACAGGAACCTTGAGTCACACTCAATCGCATTAATCATAGAACAGAGCATGACAGCTGTGTTTCCAGGTATGCGCAAGACGCGATGCCCAGTTTTCTATACGTAGGCTCCGTAATAACTGAATGCGATCAGCTGAAGCCGAAGAAGCAGTCGACGAACTTTACCCCGTAGCATTTTTCCCCAGAGATCCCCGGCCCCACCAATCGCTCACCTACTTTTTTTTTCACACAAACAAGTGCTACGTTCTCATTGAGGGGGTTTATGGGGGAGGCGGGGCAGGGGGAATCTTTACGGTAGCCTACATGAATTCTCGGCCATTGACGTAGGATCTTAAGGGGAGGGAGTGCAGCCGCCGTTAACAAAACAAAGGACAGATGTACTGATTATATTTCAGACGAAGAGTGCCGATTGTTTCCTAACTCCACAAAATAGCTCTCTGCATGGTGCACACTGCCAGCGCGTATTAAGAAAACGAGAAAACAAAACAACCAATGGAGGTAAGCATCGACGAACTCCGAGACCTGGACCCTCCAATTCACAATTCCACAGGAATTTTCGCCCTGTTACCGTCAAGAAAACAACTACAAAATAGTCCGATAGATAGGAGGGGGAAATATATAAACTTTGCCAGTGAAATTGCATAAGGCACTTTTCTTTATTACTGTGCACGAGACGTTACTTTTCCATGTTACTTGCCTGTTTCTGTTGGTTGACATCAGAGATATTGCTGGCGAATTCCCAAGCAGCCAGCGTGGCTTGATAGTCCAGCTCCGTGATAGTCTCACTGTAGGCGTCTAAAAACTCCCTCGCCTGGGCCAGATCAGCGACAAGTTCCTGGTGACCGTGGCCTCCCTGAGCTGTCGATAAGACCGGCATGCATACCATGCACAGGAGAGCAAAAGACCACATTTTGACATAAAAAATCGAAATCTGTAGCCTGTTACACCACTCGTTCAGTAGACTCAGAGTCAGACCTGTTTATTAACAAGCACTGTCTTGGCACGTAGTCAGCAGAGCTGAGTCAGTATACATGTACATGTATATGCAAGCCAAGTCTCACTTGCTGATGTCGCTTATTCTCACAGGGGCGCCGATCTGCAAGTCAAGGTCTCAGGGTGTGAGCTTGTATTACATATGTCATAGAAACCTTAGACTTGGGGCGGGGGCCAAAACAGGTAAGAAGCATCCCCTCGCAGTTAGGCAGCTGCCCAGAAAAAATTCCTAAACGAAAAAATATCCACTCTGATTTACTAAAAAAAAATCCTAGTCATTTTTTGGGGGGGGATGGCCCCATCCCCCCGCCCCCCGTCCGCCCTTGCGACTATAATGACTCACTTGAAAGGCGACTAGAGGGCCAACATTTAGTATCTGTCAATCTATTCCAAATTCTAACACTTTTCCCCACATAAAATAGTCTGCACCTTCTCCGTCTTATTTTTTTTTCTCGTATGCATATGGAGTATGCAATGGGGTCACTAGTACTTGTGCACGTCTATGCACCTCGAGGGCATAGTGTGAGTGACCAAAAGGCGTACGTGGTCCGGACAAAGGCCAAGAATTTTTCTACTTTATGTGTGTGTTATAACACATTACCCCTGTCCAAATGTAAAATAACCGTCTCGCAGTCAACCAGGGTAAAAAAAATCAGCAAGATGTGTGTATAAACCACAATATTGACGAACTGCAAAATCAGTGCCACAGTTTGACTCGAAACAAAATGTGGAACTTGGATGCACCCAAACTAGAACCTAGAGACAGAAAGATTGAGTTAAAAAAATCAAATCAACTAACAAATGAGCAACTGCAACGCACACTCGAAAACAGTTCAAGAAACACCCTTCCAGTTCCACGCCAATACGAACCCGCCCCCTAAAAAGCGCAACAATAGTGTTGCAAAGCAAAATGATTCTCAGCAAAAGCGTGCAATATTCGCAGACGGGCGACTAATTTATGTTCGCAAACGGGTTATTCTTGAATGGGAATGTCCATTGTGAATAAGAACTAACTACCCAACTACCGATCGTAAAGTTTTGCTGTCGACGCGACAATCTCGGGGCAAGCATGGAACAGCCAGTACCGAGATCCCCAGAATCAGAGGGAAAACGGCGAATCCAAGAGGAGGACGAAGAAGAATGGATCGGCCCTATGCCAATAGAAGCCGTCAAGCCTAAGAAAAGAAAAGGCAAGTGGCAGAACTTACAGAAAAAGGAAAAATTTCGCGGCGTTTATGAATTTTGTCTAGGCCCAGGCCGTTTAATTCAGTGCGTTACCCAGACGTTTAAAATAGTAATGGTATGACTTTGAATTGACACCATGCTAATTTGAAATCATTTGCATAGATTCGTTTTTAACTGTCCAAGACATTCATGCCTCTGTTTTCTTCCTCCAATTGAGCAGAGACCGTTCAGGAAAGAATTCCATATACAGACACCACTGATTTTTCCCTGCAGTGACTTATTTGCCATCTGAAAGCAATAGCATGTCCTTAAGTTGAATTAAACAGTAAAATTTAGCTGTGAAAATAGTGACATCAGCTAGCTTGAGATCAAGAGAAAACACCAGTCACAGGGTTTGTGCACAGTGTGTTAAGTGGTGTCCTTGTTACAAGGAATTCTTTCTGCTGTTCAACCCATTGCACATACGTGTGGGTAAAATGACAGTCTTCCATTCATTTTGTACAGGGAATTACTGGAAAGAGTTCCATATACGGACACCACTTGACAACCTGTGCACAAACCCTATGGGACTTTTGTTCATTTTGTAAGGCAAATAAGCACAACTTTTTTGATATATTGTCGTTATTTTAACTGCATAAAATAGTGAAAGTTAAGGTATTTTCAAGGGAAAGATGTGGTGTTTACAAGGACATTTGTTTAGAGTTTTCCCATTGACCATGACACTATTCATGTCCCTTTGAGTCCAGAGGGGCAAAACAGCCTCTACTGACCAATCAGTGACAAGAAACAAGACCTAGTGAAATCACGCTGTCGACCGTGAGAATGACCTAACACATAGAGAATCACACGGCTTTAGAATAAACAATGAAACCAACACAAAAATGGAACAATGTAATTTGGAATAGGCCTATTACTTGCTCGGTCTTTGTGTTTAGCCAAGTTCTAACAATTTATTTTCTTCTTTACTATCACAGTTCTTGAGTTTGAGGATACATTTCTGAAAAATCTACCCTCGGCTGAGCTGTACGAAAAGAGCTACATGCATAGAGATGTCATTACACACATTGCAGTCAGCAAGTAGGGATATCAGGAATC